GACACTCACAGACAGCCATACTGAAACACACATACACACAGACATACTGAACCACACAGACACTGACCGACTCACACACACACAGACATACTGACACACTGACAGACATACTGACACACTGACAGACATACTGGCACACTGACAGACAGACATACATACATACTCTCACACACACACACAGACACTCATGCAAAATTTGATAACCACCCTCCAGTTTCTTACCTTTTCCTGGAGGGTGGCTTCCCTGGGGTCCAGTGGGCTGGCTGGGGTGGCTGGGAGTTAAGCTCTCCCGGCCTGGCCCCCTCCGGAACATCTCCTTCCTCCCGCGCGGCTCTTGTTTCTGTGGGAGGAAGTGACGCGCGGCTGTCACTTCCTCCCAGTGCTGCCGAAAAGCAAGGGCCCGGTCGCGCTGTTAAAGCGCCACAGCGCCCGACCGGGCCCCTGCTGACACAGGCCCACCGGGTGGCCCTAAGTGCATGGGCCACCCGATGGGCCCCCATAGTTTGCGGGCAGAGGGCAAAAGGAGCAGCTGTCTTGGGCCCCCCAGCTGGGACAGGGCCCGGGGCAGCTGCCCCGTTTGCCCTGCGTTAAAGACGGCCCTGTGCAGGTCTAGCAAACTATTAACAGTGCAGAAGATGGGATATTATAAAGTAGACAGGATTTGCAATAAAGAAAGTGCAAACATTAGAAGACTGTGTAAGTCACATGCATAGAGGTAGGACTAGAGAAACATAAACAAAGGGATTTAACTCCTAAATGGCAAAGAATTGAGCAGTGAGACTGCAGGGGCATGAGCTATACGCAAAAAACTGCTTCATTCAATTTAAGTTGTTTAGGTGACTATAGTGTCCCTTTAATATGGTAGTATTAGTGATATCCGAAGACTATGGGCACCAGGGAACACAGGTATGCATCAAACTGTTCAAAAATGTTTTGACTACTTACTGTGGAATAGCATCAGGGTACTGCTGGCATTATCATCATTACTGTGCTCTATTGTGGATATGGTACTTAGACTATTCTTTAACGATATAATCAACTTTTCTAGATTCAGATATGCATAGGGTTATAACCAGATATAAAATGCACTTTTGGGGACTGAGATCTGTACAGGGTGATAGTAGATATCAAAATGTCTGCTCTAAATTCAACACTGCTCATGCTAATAAGTAGGTATAAATACAATGTGTGTTATTCACCAAAGTCTGAACACCCACTGTTCATATTAATAAGAATAATTCAGTACCATCCAATGACATTCAGACTGCAAAATCTTTACATTGTTTTATGATTGATTAATTTCGAGATTATAATACAAGCTAATAAAATGTGTCATTTGCACCATTTCGTTAATCAACTGATGGGGATAAAAGGTCAATACTATAATGGATTATATTGTACCCCAATAATTAACACATAAAAGTTCTTTATTAAATGCTCTTATATGATTTCATGAATAATGTTTGTTAAATCAATATTATTTTGTTCAATTTTTACATTAAGCTATTGGTGAGTACAGATGTCGCGAACTGTCCGCCGAACTGTTCGCGAACTGTCCGCCGGCGAACAATAGCGTGTTTGCGTTGGGCGAACATATCCGATTTCCGGTCTGCCCCCTATACGTCATCATTGAGTAAACTTTGATCCGGAACCTCACAGTCAGCAGACACTTCCTGGGAGGGAGGGTCTGCTGCTGATTGGGTGGAATGTGTCTGCTGGCTGTAAGGTTCAGGGTCAAAGTTTACTCAATGATGACGTATAGGGGGCGGACCGGAAATCGGATATGTTCGCCCACCGCGAACACGCTATTGTTCGCCGGCGGACAGTTCGCGAACAGTTCGGCAGACAGTTTGCGACATCTCTATTGGTGAGCACATAGCACATTTCTGTAGGTTCTACTGTAAAAAGTAAGTGAATTTGTTTTGTTTATTTGCATTCGAAATTTGATGTCTGATAAATATAGAAATCCTATACTTTATATAATGTTTGCACATTAGAAATATTAATTTTAAAGCAGATACAGGTTAGAACTAAATGAGATTTGCTAATTTGGTTAAATTACCGAATACCAATCGTATTTGCCTTTAATAAATAGGACAGGGTTATTCACTAAATTAAGAATCTAAGTGAAAAACCAAACTGCAAAAAAATCTCCAAGTGAGCTATGCTTCCAGTTCAGCTACTTTGGAATTCCCTACAATTCTCACTTTAGTGACTAACCAGGTTAAAATTGCAAATGTGGTTCAGTTATTCAGTTTTGTTGCAGTTCAGTTTTTTGAACCAAATGTTGCTGATCCAGATTAAATGTGGTCCTTAGTGAATAATTCAGATTGTCCTCCATGGTTATTTACTAAAGAGAATGGTTGGGAATCCAAAGTAAATATCAAATTGAAGGTCAAAATAACCAAACTGGAAAATTCTCAAAGTCAGCCATGCTTCCAGTTGGGCTATGAATTCCCAGCAAATCTCACTTTAGTAATTGGGTGATATTTTCTAGGATAATTACTAAAGTGAGAATTATTAGAGACGTAAAGTGAATGTCAATATTAAAGTAACACTGTAGGCCCCGGAATCCAAATGTGTATTCCTGACCTTATAAAAACACAATTTAGGTTGCCGGACCGCCATTGACCGCTTTAAAATAGTATTACATCTTTCCATTATTATAGCGCTACTATTTGCTCTGCCCCCACCCCACCTCCTTTGCTGAGAGTGTCACTATTGATGATCCTATGGGAAAGCATTGGAATGGCTGTGATTGTCAATTGTGATGATCTCAACCAAGGAGGCGGGGGTGGGGGTACGGAGCCAAACACCATGCTGGCCAATCAGCAGCTCCTCATAGATATGCATTGAACTGATGCACCTCTATGAGGAAAGTTTAGTGTCTGCATGCAGAGTGTGCACATTGCAGCACTGACCCAGGAAACACCTCTAGTGGCTTTCTGAGTGATTGTCACTGGAGGAGTCCCCATTCAGTAATGTAAATGCTGCCTTTTCTCTGAAGACTGCAAGAACAGACTACTGCTTACCAGAATGAGTACATTAAGCTGTAGTTGTTCTGGTGACTATAGTGCCCATTTAAGGCCAAAGTACCTGAACTGGAAGCATAGATGTCTTGGATTATTTTTCCATTTCATCTATTTTGGCCTTTAATTTGAATTCACTTGGGTAAATAACTCTGTCAGAATTCCACTGGGGAAATTAGTACTAGTCTTATACAGTGACAGTAACCAAAAATAAATATAGGCAGCACCAGACTGGGAAAACAATTTAGCCCAAGCATTTTTTAAGTACAGGGGCCCAGTGAGAAGATGGCGGGGCCAGAAAGATGGGTGTTTTGTCATTACCAAAGATAAGCACACCACCTCTCAAAGTGAGTATGTTGATTCAATGCTGTTAAAGGGCAGCTCATGTGTAGAAACGCGTGCATTTAAGTGCCTGTGGACTGATGAGGAAGATCTTTGATCTCCCCACTGGCCGCAATGGCACATAGCAAGACAGGCACTTGGATAGCGCCTGCTTTGCATGGGCCTGCAGGGTAGATCCTCTGTTCTCACTGTTGGCCTCTGTCCATGGCCATTGCGGCCCAATGGGCATTTGCCTAGTTTGCCCAATGGCCAGTCAGGGCCTGAATATATTATATACAATACACTTAACCCCTTAAGGACACATGACGGAAATATTCCATCATGATTCCCTTTTATTCCAGAAGTTTTGTCCTTAAGGGGTTAAGGGCTCTTCAACAAACATAAATTGTGTTTGTGGACAATAGCTGAGTATGCCATACCTAGATATGAGGAAAATTGGCTGTGCTGTGTGGGAACTGACATGCTGGTGAGTCTGTAAATAAGAGGGCTCACCTAGGGAAAAGTCTATTGTATGTAAATAATTATGTAAATAATGCTTTTTTAACCCCTTAAGAACACATGACATGTATGACATGTCATGATTCCCTTTTATTCCAGAAGTTTGGTCCTTCAGGGGTTAAGGGAGAGGAGGGAGGGATCACCACTCTCATGAGAGGACATCATACCCCCTGACAGGTACGAATATGTATAGACAGGATAAACCTCTCCTAAAACTGCAGGCTTATTAGCCTTCCCATTTGTGCAAAATTAACAAGAGAAATAAAACCACACAGAAATATACTTCACGTTTAAACTCCTGGTGTTGGGCCTCAGCAATGACTATAGTATATATCAGCTCAAATATATGAACAAACGAGAATAAAAGAGGTTCCTCGTGCACTCTCCCAAATCCATATGTAAAATTAAATGACATTTTTCGAATCATCACAATGGCCATTAAAGTGTAAGCTCACCTGCCAACGACAAGTCGCTTATGTGAGTCCTAGTTAAGCTGAACTAGCTGAACTGGAAACATGGCGGAGTCGGAGATAATTTTCAGTTTGCCCTAAAATTCCTAATTCTGTTTTCCATTTTCTACAATTCCCAGTTTGGTGAATAAGAGATGACTCTGAACTATAGCGTCTGGGTTACTGGCTGCAATACACCGCTCTGCAATAACAGACAGGGGAGTATTATATGCATTCAATTTGTTTTACGTTATTAAAACAGTCAGAACATATCCAGATGGTCCCTTTGCATGTATAACACTAGTTTATCCCGTTATTAATTTTCTCCCAGTTAAACAGAGGGTAGATTGGAATAAAATCCTGACAGCATGACATATCACATACAAAGTAACACCTTATCCTGCCTTATCAGCATTTACACCAGTAATCCTCCTATTACACAGGCATTACACTCTCCTTTCACACCTAGGGCTGAACCAGACCCTTAATCTGCCCGGGTACTGGCGGGCTACAGCGCTGGAAGAAACCCTCTGATAGTGCGCGTGCGCGGCTCTCGCTGCCAGGGACGCTTCACCTTGGAGATGCTGTCAAGCTCCGAGCCTGTGATTGGAGGAAGCTGAACATTCCAGCAGCTTCCCCTGTATTATAAATGACTTGTGACAGTTGGGGAGAAGGGGGACAGAATCTCATATGTGACACATTGTATTCTCTGCAATCCACTCATTCTGACACCATGGAGAACAGACGGAAAGCTTTCGGTAAGATCTGTCCAAACACAATTGGCAGTGTCCCAAGCAGACCGATAAAGAAGCCTGTTAAGGCTGATAAAAAGGTATTTATCATTGTGCGATTTTATTGTAAATAAACACAACGGGTATTGTTATCAAAACGTTTGTGGGACCAAGTTTTTCAAGTGAAACAATCACCTTGTAGAAAAACGGGACTGTTCCTGTCTGATTGTTCCACTTCAACAATATTATTAATATCCACATTAGGAATTTTGATTGAGTGCATTTCTGAGATGACTGTTCAAAATATTGCAAATTATATTTATTTATTTATTTCTAAATTAGGCGCCGACAAGGAGGCTTTTCCCAGCTGCCAACAGACCTGTGTCCATTTATGTGGATCCATCTCCAAACGCAGTGGACGCAGGTAAGATCTGCAATATATTTTCTCAAAGCAACCGATCGAGAGAGTGTATGTATATGTGTATTTATATTTTATTATATTAAAAACGTTTGTTATCTGTCCACAGCACTTTCTACAATCGACTGGCAAGACTTGGCAGACTGTGACTCAGTTATACAACAAGACGCCGCTAGGGGTAACGTTTCACAGCAGGTAAATGACAACCCCACAGATACTTCAAAGCCAGCAGTCTTTTGATCAGTTATATCTGACATGATCTCCCCACAGTCATTTTCATTGTAAAGAGCAAGAAATGTGTTCATTAAATGTCAGTAAACACTCAACAACTACACGAATATAGTAGGGCTGAGCGATTTACACATTCTAGACAGTTTAAGTGCACAATTTAACAATCTCTATTGTTGTAAAGAAGGAGCCAAAAGTAACTGTTAAACCCATTAAAGCACACAATAAAAATAAATAAATCAAGCACACTTTTATTATTACAGTGATGGGTGCTGCATTGAAGTAAGCAAAATATTACAAGCCCCATGGTGTTTAAAAGGTTATCCCTGGAAATAAATAAATAAAATGATCTGATTTAGTTTATTACACTTTGGGTGCAATGCTTCCACGATACAATGCAATTAGGGATTAGCTGTAATCTGACAGACACTAATACATACACAGTAATACAGCATACTGGTATGTCACAGAAATATTTCCCTGTTATTGTATACGTATATATTTTGGTATCTGTACATATGTGTATATATTTTGGTATCTGTACATATATGTGGATATATTTTGGTATCTGTGCATATATGTGGATATATTTTGGTATCTGTACATATACGTTTATATATTTTGGTATCTGTGCATATATGTGGATATATTTTGGTATCTGTACATATACGTGTATATATTTTGGTATCTGTGCATATATGTATAAATATTTTGGTATCTGTACATATATGTGTATATATTTTGGTATCTGTACATATATGTATAAATATTTTGGTATCTGTACATATATGTGGATATATTTTGGTATCTGTGCATATATGTGGATATATTTTGGTATCTGTACATACATGTGTATATATTTTGGTGTCTGTACATATATGTGTATATATTTTGGTGTCTGTACAGGCTTACCATCATGTGCTTTGCTTGTTTTGGTTGGGATATGTCTATCAGTGTACCTATGTTGGATCCTGTAATAAAAGGTGTGTTCCAAAATCCATTATAAATAGTGAACTGGAAAACTAATTGGAAAATATAGGCAGAAATAGTTGAACTGTAAAAACTGTAAAATGCTAGATTGGCTATGCTTCTGACTAAATTCTACATTTCAGTGGTCAATACGCTACAATTCGCTGCTTAGTGAATAAAGCCCTATACAGTTATCACGGTGTATGGTCAATGTGTGTTTTGGTTACGGTCTGTGGTTACTACACCAACTGTCTCATCTGGCTTAGTTATTACTATTTGGTATGAAGATCAGGTTACACACCCTGTGCCCCACAGGAACATCCAGTGCAGTAATACCTGCATTACTAAAGCCAAAAAGGGTCTGCATTACATATTAATACTATGGAACATTTACACGCGCAGAATGCCTGAGTTTGGAATCACACATTATTATTTTTATTAGTATTTTATTATTTATATAGCGTCAGAAAATTCCGTAGCGCTGTACAATGGGATGTCAGATCAACATTTTCTATAATAGTTCAGCCTCTTCGCTTGTTGAGAATAGTGCGTAATGCAGTGCACAAAATACAGTTCCAATGTTACTCGTCAGTTATTTATGGGGCTTATTCACTAAGCAGCGAGTTGTGGTGGCTATTCGATAGGCTTACCCAATTAGGACAACATAGCAGACATTTTCATCTTTGAATTGTATAAGTGATATGCTGATCTTCATTTTACAAGTTGCGTGTCAAGCGATCGCAGCTCTTAGTGAATACACACAGTAGACTTCCCTGTATTACAAAGTGTAACAATGTGCAGTTTTGTTGTTAATCACACCGTTGTTGTACACTGTTAGCTAGGTTTATCAGTGGTGTGTTACTGTGTTGCCAAACACTCTGGCATTTAAATGGTTAACAGAAAGCAAGTTGGCCAAATTTGAGCTAATCCCAGTGTTACTGTATCTGTACAGAGGAATTCCTGCGCTATATGGGAAATCGTGGCTTACTGCTTACACGTGCTGCACCTGTCGCTCAAAACTGCTGTGAGACAACTTTTCAGATATATTAACCTGTTCTTGGTTATGTTAAATTTTAATATTCGGCCCAAATATTTTGGCAGTTATAAAATTTGACGCTGGATTACTGATTGCAGACATATTTTGTTTAGAATTTAAATGATTATCAACCATTAGCTTTGAATTAAATAAATATAAAAAACACCAAAATGCTAACTTGCTTCGTTTAAATGTAACTGAAATAGTAAGGTTAGTAACCATTGCCCAACTTGGTAGGACCAACCGTTTACATTATTCTGATTTGGCTGAGAGTAATGGGGGTAGAAGGTAGAGCTTCTGCATGTGTTCCTGGCAGTAACAATAAAATATAAAAACTAAAAATCTGCCCATAAGCCTTTTTCAAACAATCTATTGCCAACCATTATGCAACATGTGAAACGTGCCAAATTCTCTGTATATAGCATGGATGTGTGCTACCAACAGGTGGTTAAACGAACGAATAAAGTAATGGGGAGTGAACATCAAATAATGACACTGGTTGCAAAATCCAAATTCCAAGTAACGTCCTCTTACAAATTCCACCGTCCACCTTTTTTCGTGGTATATACACTAGAGTCTGGTATATATTGGACATGTGGTACTTATTGCTATTATCATTAGTTTTTATATAGCACAAACATTTTCCCCAGCCCTTTACAATTATACAGTTGGTTAACAAATAAATGAAAAACAAAAATCATGTTGTCAGACAGAAAAGGAGAATAGATTTTATACTGCAGGATTTTGGGGTACGGTTGGTAAGGTTTTGCCTGTAACCTGCTGATTTTTTGAAGCTACAGAATGGAAATCTGGAAAATATTAATATGAGAAGGAAACATATATTACTTAATCTTATAATATAATGTTATAAATCTGGCCCATCACCCAGTATTAAATACGTTAACTAAAATGGCATATTTATCTAGCTATAGTAATATATTATAATTTTATTGTTGCTATTAATGCTGTAAAGAATTCACAGTGAGACCGAGCAAGGGGGGGCAATAGCAACACATTCCCCCCAAATAAACAAACACAATACAAAAACAAACAAACAGTTTGACCAGTAGTGGCTGGAGGGCTGATTGGCCTTGTACTGAGCTCCAGCACTTTCATTGTAGGTGAACCTGGCAATTAGAGGGAGGCTCCTTATCTTGCATTGTGTGAATGCTAAGCCTTCATATAAAGTTATTTGTCTGGTGCCCTGAGGTGAGGCTCTGTACATAGGGGCAGGCAGCCCAGGTTAATTTGTCACTGAGAGCTCAAACAGCCAACTGATTGGCCAGAGTAGACCAATCAGGAGCAGGCACGGGATGCACAGGGGATTGCCCTGGCTAACAGGTTGTACAGAGCCTGTATCATTATAAACCCACTGCACTGCAGGAGCCCTGTCACTGTGCTGATAGCTGTGCTCACTCCTGGAAACACTATACCTCATACTGTAACTCCCATTACTGCAGTACGGGACATGGCAGTGCAAGCATGCCACCTCCATTACCCAACCTATGGATATGATGATTTCCAGGTATGTGAACAGGAATTTTCTAGCGATATATAGATCTCACTGCAGCAGATTATTAGGGATACAGTATATAGATCTCACTGCAGCAGATTATTAGGGATGCAGTATATAGATATCACTGCAGCAGATTGTTATGGAAATATAGATCTCACTACAGCAGGTTATTAAGGGTACAGTATATAGACCTCACTGCAACAGATTATTAGGGATATATAGATCTCACTGCAACAGATTATTAGGGATACAGTATATAGATCTCACAGCAACAGATTATTAGGGATACAGTATATAGATCTCACTGAAGGAGATTACTAGGGCTGTCTCACTGAATAGATTTCTAGGGATATATATCTCACTGTAGCAGATGATTAATTATGGAATCTATTCAATGGAGAGGTCTCATTGCATTAAATTACTAGGTGACGAATTAACATGTTTCAGTCTTTTTACCACTGGATGCATTAAGGGCTGTCTTTGTTTCAGGGACACTGTTTGCAAGATGGATCTCAGTTTGACCTGCAGGAGTTCAGAGATGCTGTGGATAACTTCATTGCAGGTGAGCTATGAGCAGGTGTATATGAAGATGCCATTTCCTTATAAGGCGATTGTAAAGTCCAAAGCAGCCAAACTATACATTCAAGTTACATTACTTCTGTGTAATATTTATTAGCAACTGTGATACTTAAAATCTATCTTGTAAGGGGAACTTACAAAAAAAGTAACGTTGTACTTACTATTTCGTTTAATTTAAACACACGCTGTTGATGATCCAGTAGAGAGTAACATTATTAGGTCTTTGCAGATATCTTCAATTTAAACCAGTGGATACATCTCATACATTAAAGAGTAATAGTTCTAATTCCCCACAAGTTTTTTTTTTTTTTTTTTTAATGAAATCGTTACAACGTGGCTAATTCGTGCACGAGTAGGTCTTGCTGTATACCAGGGTGTTTTTATAAAAAACATAAACATGTTGGCTAATTATACTTTATGATTCAATTTTTCTCCCCAGACCAATCCTCTCTCATGCAAACTGCTATTGGCTCTGCAGATTACCAGCTGTTTAACCCTTGCATTTCCGCACCCCAGCCAGTGCATCTCATGCCCCTCAATGTGCAGCCTGCACCCACTACCGAGCAATACTGGAAAGACATAGCTGGCCAGAACCAGCAGGCCCTGGGCAATGCTCTAGTGGAGAATACCCAGGTAAGGTTTATTTACTAATAAACGACTGGTAGACACTTGGATCACTGCCTGGAAATTGTGAGAGAAATGTATTTCCAGCAGATCCATTTGGAAATGTGTTTTTAAACAAATCCCCCTTTTTATAGTTAACCATGTATGAACTAAGGCTGATGTCAATGAATTTCTTTCTGCACAATTGTAATATTGCAATGCATGCTCTACACCTAACATGGACCAGTTAAACATTTAGAATCAATGCCTGGGTTTCTTATAATTAATTTTTATTATTCCGCAATATAATGCTAAACTGTTTGTTTAAATATGAAGGTACTTACAACGGTTTGCTGTATATTACAATGTCCCGTTCCTCCTCCATATAGTTGCATGTGACATTGACTGAAAAACAAGAAGAAATTGCCTCTCTGAAAGAAAAAAACGTCCATCTCAAAGAGCTTGCTGCCCAGGCTAAGCAGCTGGCATCAGTTCTCGATGTAAGTGTTAAAATCATGTTAAATCAAATTTATTCAATTTACCATTAGCAGCCTGTAGAGGGCGCTCGGATACCATAATGGCTTCCATATCAATGTTCTAAGGCAGGGGTGACCGGGATCTGCTAGTTACCAGGGTTGTAACAGATACATCCTCTGCCTGTCAGTTCAGCCACAGGTTGATAAGCTGGCTAAGCATGATGTGATTGCAAGTCCTATGAGTTATTATTAACTGTTTATCCACTTACCTGGGAAAAAAAACAATACCTGTTAAGGTAAATTAACATTTTAATTGAGCATGTAACTGTACAGATTAAAAAAATCTGTATCATTTCCTTGAACACTATTGAGTGAGTTGCTTTGATGTGAGATTTGTCTTTCAAAATGTAATTAACAATTGTTGAAATGTAATAAAATGCTGAATTGCAATAAATTAATACAAACTGGTTATTTTGATTTATTTATCAAATCTGTTCTTATATCAGCAACAGTATTTGAATAGATCCTTACAAAACACTTGGAAAGGGTATTATTATTATTATTATTTTATTATTATATTATAGGATAGATCAAAATGTCTTATTATGATACAGACACCTAATACTTAAATATATTTAAAACATTTTTTAAATATGGACATTTTTAAACCTAAAATCTAAAGAATAAAATGCATATCACAAAATTTAAATGCATCTGTAACACGATAATTTGCAAAATAAATGATCTATACAACAGGCAAAATAATTGTTTGTGTTATTCACTATTAAATGACTTTGTTGTAAGATATATCCTTCCAAGCAGCACATTATCCTGAAGTTTAACAGCTAAATTGTAGTCATTAGAGATTATTTAGCCAGAGCCTGCTGGTATAGACATTAGAGAACATGTAATGTCTGGAATAGGATCATAGCGTATGAACAGAGTTCTAAATTGTGATATTTTGTTTTCCTACCAGAAACTGATGTACCATAGGTCAGGAGACAGTGGGAGGATTTCATCAGGTACAGTGTCACCTAGGCCACCCGTGAAGAGGAATCTACAGGAATATTACCCTCAGGACAATGAGCAGGATTGTAAAAAGGTGGATGAGATGTTGAGGGAGATCTCTAAGAAATGTAATGCTGTTCTCCACAGTCAACCCACAGAGGCTAAACGCCCTAAACTACAAACAGACGACCACATGGATTTCCAGGAAGAAGGCATCACAAACATCAAAATGTGCGGGGCTTTCCATGGACTTAAGACAGTCACTGGGCAGAACTCAGTGAATTTGGTTGATACTGATCTTGAAGAAGACATCTCCTTCAAGACCTCCATAAAGGAGCACAGCACGATTCGGACTTTAGCCTATCCCCAGGGAAACGCTTTCACCATCCGGACATTTGGAGGGGGGTACAAATTTAGATGGGTCCCCAACTGAGAAGATAGATTTACTGACTACCTTCAATGGAGTTTTGCCAGTGGAGAGTGTACGTGGTGATAATAACTCGTATACCACTAGAGGGCATGCTGTGCTAAAGCCTTACTCTGGTAATATCATTATACAATATAGTATATTACATCAAGTGCTCCACACCAATAATAAGAAATTGACTAGTCATCATGGGACCATGTTAGATATTCATTATTTAATGGTACTGTGACATAAAACATTATTCTTTGTGTCCAAGACAGGTGTAACTCAAGTGCTCACTACATTATACTATAACTGCCTTCTGTAGTGCCTATGAATGGACTGCCAGGTTATTAGTGTACGTAACATTTGGGGTATTTATATTGTAACCATTTCCTTATCCAAGCATTTCGCCAGTTACATGAAGAAAACATTTTGCTACAACTTTACATTATTCCTTTTTTTTGTATTTTGAAGTTATTCTAGCAGTGCACCATTGGGTAAACTATCTTAGAATATATTGTGCATTCGACTCGCCCTGTTTTAATTTAAGGAGACGCACAGTACATTTACTTGCAAAGTTGCACATTTACCGATTAGCCATATAAATTATTTTTACTATTGTTTTTTTTGAAAGTAGGATTCTTGCTGCACTGAAAATACTCGGGACCTGCCTGCGCCAGTATTAGCTAAATGTCTTTATTAAGATAATCTAATATTGTTTTTCATAAAGTTAGAATTGTCAGGAATTCAAAGTGTGTTTAAACCGTAAGACCTAAGTAGATGAACCAGAAAGATTCTCCAAGTCAGCTGTGCTTCTGGGTTGGCTATTTATTCTTAAATTTGCAATTCACTTTCTATTCTCACTATAGTGAATAACTTTGGAAATGTATACTAGGGATGGTACTGCCAACTAGCATTGGTACTGCCAAATAGCATTAATGCTATTTTTTTAAAAATCTCATTAAGGAGACATATTTAAGTTTACAGAAGTCAGTGTGTGTGAGACAGTCCTCGCCAGTTCTCATTTATCATGTAATCAGACCCAGGGTTTAAGAACTCTTATATAACCTATTTATAGGAGCCCATAGGTGTGCCTTCTGCCACGCATATCAAAAAGTCCCATGATGCTTAGAAAAAAGTAAAACATCAATGGAGTTGAAATTCTCTAACAGCAAATTAATAGACCAGTTGACCAGTTCTGAGTATAAGTGAGGGTCACTGGGCTCTATTGTACAGAGCTTCAGAATATTAAGGTAAGATAATATTAATTTTTAAAACAATGCTATTGATGGCCCTTATACATTATTTCACCCCTAATTCATCTCCTCTGCCAATGACCAAGCTTACACTCTCTAGAGAGTTATTCACTGCACTGAAACAGTTAACTTGCCATTTTAAACCCCTGCTCTAAAACAAATAAAATTTATTTTATTTGTACATAATATAGCATACGTGTGCTGCTTTCATACAATGTTATTTCCATTTGCAGATTACAGGTTCATTTGTAAATATAAATTGTAAATATATTGTTAAAATCATGCATTAACTATGGACTTTTAATATAAATGTTAATATAATTTAAATGAAATTTATTTTTACTTGTTTGCATTACAAATTATGTTTGTATGAAGTTTGTAAATAAATGTTCAAAATTTTTTTTTAACTAAATGTATGTTTTCCAGAAGTAAAATAATTTATGTAATTTCTGCTTTTTTTTTTTTTTACCTCTTTTTATTCTGGTTAAAGTGACTCAATAAGGTTTTTTAAAAAAAAAATCTTTATGTGCAAAATAAATTTTAGACACTATTGATCTTTTGCAATAGATATAGGATTATTTAACATATTGGAACCTATTCACTAAAGAGCAAATTGTGGTGAATTAAGATCCAACATGTTTCTTCTAAAATTAATAATTGCAGCTTTTTTTCCCCAGCTGGGTTATGCTGAAAAATAGGTAGGCAGTTAAAATATAAACCAAGTGATTTAAGTTAGCTCAGTAAATAGAAACATTCCCTATTGGAGCCAAATAGACGAATAGACGACAGATAAGTCAAATGATTTTAGTTAGCCCCAGAATAGGAAACATCCACTATTGAATCTGAGAAGAAATAATTCCAGCAAATGTAACTTTAATTAGACCATACAAACTACACCAAAAAGTGAACAATAACATTAGCTCTTTTAATGCCCAATTAACGTGCAAATTTGAAAAATTAAATAACAAAAAAACAAAACCTATATTTACTTACCTTTTTTCACCAGCGTATGCACTCCAATATGGAAAATATAAAACAATAAAAACTGTTGTGCTGACTGTTACACCAATATTCCCAAATGTGAACAAAATCAGAGAATCACTGTTCTGGTTGTAATGGATACTTCTAGAATCAAATATCCTTCTGCAAGATGTGTTCAATTCCAAGTGAAAGCAAAGCAAATAGCAAACAAAATGTCTTTACCTTATTAACAAGCCATTAAAAACAGAACAAAAATGTATTCTAGTACAAACAGAAACAGACATCTGATATATAGATATATATAGTCATTTTTAGTCTTTTTTCTGTTTGTAACAAAATATAATTATTTTTTCTTTTTTTAAGGGCTTGTTGATAAAGTGAAGGTAACTTTTATGCCATTTGCTTTGCTTTAACTTCGAATTGAACAAAATATATAATTATGAAATATATAAATAATTTAAAAACTTATCCTAAACAAAAAATATACAAAAATATGATGTCTGGGTGCAGTACTGCATAAAGTATATATCAGAAAACAATTAGTAGCACTCACAGGTTTGTTTGTCGTGGTTTTATTCAGTGAATCACATCATAAAGTAGTCTTTACAGACGATCAATGTTTCTGCCCTTTTCAGGCCCTTATCAAGATCTTTATCAAGAATGCTGCTATATTTTTCTGTTCAAATATTTTTTATTGATAATATTTTTTCAATGATAATGAAACTATAACATAACATTCGTATCATACAATGAACAATGATAAAACAAAACTAATTTGTTTCTAATTGTGATATATATATATATATATATGAAAAATATATAATTAAATGTATAATTTAAAGATTAATCTTAAAATATTTTGTTTGTCATGAGACGTGTTGGGAATTTACCAAGAAATGTAACATTTTAGACCAAAGTAGTCAAAGTGGAAAATAACTGAGTTTGAAACTTTTCCAATTGAATTACTTTGGCCTAAAATTCAAAATCCTCTTTTTAATTCCAGACAATACCCTTTTAAGTGAATAACCCTGTTTGTCTCTAAAAATATTTTTTTTTATTTTTTTTTTACCAATTCAGGTAAATGTTGGGCTAAAATGTGAAATTCTGTTGTCAATTCCCTCCCCACTCTCCCGTTAGTGAGAGAGTTGGTGAATAACCCCCATGGATGTTCCAATAGTCTGTGAAACAATGGCTGGGTTATTCAGTTAAGTGTGGATTGGTGACACTTTTGAATTTTACATTTTAGGAATAATTACCGACAGTAAATAACTGACCTGGAAGTATTTTTCCACTTTGCCTATTGGTGTTTAAAATCTGAAATACATTTTGGGTTTATATTGACTTCTTAATTATTAACACTACATGTTACGTTAAATTTTTTATTCACTAAAAGTTAAATTGAAGCACGTGGATATCTGAATGGCAAATCTTAAATTAAAATTTCCAAGCTCTGGCTATAGCAAATTTTGCTACATGGATTGTAATTTGCGACAGTTCAAAGTTTATTGAATAACCCCGAATACCAGGCAATCTCACATGGTCAAACAGTTCTGTAATGGCCAAGGCTTACATCAAACATGTTTTCTACTGATACTAATACACCTGACGAAATAGAGTAGATATGAAATGTCAGGATGGATAACTGTAAGGGCAGATCACATAAGCAGGTCTCATGAAGCGGAGGTTCAATGCTTATGATAAAGGAATGTTTTGCAGCCTCTCTGTTTGTACAGCACCTGCCACGCTAAGCTGCAGGTGTACGAAACTCACCTAATCAAAATCAACAGCCTCATAGAAAACGCTATTACAACTGATAACAATAACTACTTATACAATAGACATCAATCCTCTTTATGTATTAAGAGCGAGATTTCTTGAGTTTACATAAGGATGTAATCCTTTTTAAATTAAATAAATAGAAAATAGAAATTAGTAATGTTTGTGTCTCTTTTTCTATTTCTTTGAATATTCACATCTATCTTACAAACATTAGTTGTGAAGTCCACATAACACAAATAAAAACAGGATTATATTTGGGAAAGCTGAAATCCTTTAACATCCATCAGATTCTTTACACTCACCCATAACACAATTAACCACTTGAACAGGGAAACTCATTTTTTATTTAAAAAAAAAAAATATTTTTCATTTTCACAAATTAAAGGGGCACTACAGAACCATAAGCATTTTATCTTTACAAAAAATGGGTTGATTTCAATTCAAATTGGCGGTTTTATGAATTATCCTTGTTACACCCCCTGGCTGACAAACAGAAAACTGGTTTGGTTATCTCCTGGTTTGGGTAGCTCAGTGGAGCTAAACACAAGAGGCAGTAATTGCTAAGAACACCTGCCTTGCAAAGACGTATCATTGAGCTGTATTGGGAAGACTGTGATTGGTGAGCCACAGAAAGTCTGGGCGGGGTTAGAAGACAAGGATTTTCAAAGGCTTCATACAAGAGATCTGCTGCTTTTGCAAGTTGTTTTTAGTTTTGAAGAAATGCATAATTAAATTCATTCATATTTTCAAGAGGCTATGTCTAGTAAACATTGTGTTTTTGTATTGAACAGAGATGTGTCCTTTTTTGTATGATAAAACTGAGGTAAAGGGGGCACAGCCTGAACTTTAAGCCAAACAGACATGAGCTCTCCAGATTTTGGCAGAATTTGGGGCATAAACTGCACTTATACACTGCCCAAGAAGCATTATTCAGGTCAGGGTCCCCTGGGTAAGCTGATTTCTACCTTTCCTGAGACTTTCTGGTCCTGATTGCCCGAACAAGCCTACTCTCTGGCACCCCAAGATGGCGATGACTTTACACTCTGACCCGCACGGTGTGAGCTTGATGCAGAAGATCTGCCACCACTCCATGACGCTCTTCATGATGTAGCTTGAAGAGACCTTCTGCAGATTCTGGCTGAGACTACAAGATAAGCTTCAACAGGGAGATCAGAGAAAAACACGCCCAGAAACAGAGAATCCTGCTCAGGACAACAAAACCAAGACACAGCTTGTAAAACCCCTTACTTACCTACCTAGGCCGAGAGCTGCCCGATGCTTGTCCTCATTGCATTGCTCACACAGGTGGAAGATTGGGGATGCCGATAGACCTACTTGGCACTGGAAAAAAGGTAAGTTTTCTAGCTTTTTAAGGGTGGCCAGCAACCTAATAGTGCTTTTAACACTATAGGGTCAGGAATACACGTTTGTGTTCGTGACCCTATAGTGTTCCTTTAAATTAGTACTTTCCTTTGTATTCTCACTTTAGTAAATGACCCTGTGTATGTTGGGAAGGAGAGATAAAAAAGGACCATTTGTAACTATTGGCTCTGCATTGAAAACATGTGTAATAACCATCAATGAAAGCTGTTGAAACCATCAATGAAACTATCAAAGCTGTTAAAAGAGCTTAGTGGTGTACTAGCAAAACCATTAACAGATTTATTTAACCAATCATTGTTAACAGGAGTAGTTCCAGAAGATTGGAAGTTAGCGAATGTTGTGCCCATTCCCAAGAAAGGTAATAGGGAGGAGTCGGGCAACTATAGGCCAGTAAGCCTTATTCAGTAGTGGGGAAAGTGATGGAAACCATGTTAAAGGATAGGATTGTTGAACATCTAAAAACACATGGATTTCAAGATCAGAGACAACATGGGTTTACTTCAGGGAGATTATGCCAAACTAATCTTATTGATTTTTTTGATTGGGTAACTAAAATTATAGATCAGGTGCAGTAGACATTGGGAGTTGTAGTCAATGGAGTATATTCGAAGCTTGGGCTTGTCACCAGTGAGGTACCTCAGGGATCTGTACTTGGACCCATTCTCTTTAATATTTTTATTAGTGATATTGCAGAAGGTCTTGATGGTAAGGTATGTCTTTTTTCTGATGATACTAAGATATGTAACAGGGTTGATGTTCCAGGAGGGATAAGCCAAATGGCAAATGATTTAGGTAAACTAGAAAAATGGTCAGAATTGTGGTAACTGACATTTAATGTGGATAAGTGCAAGATAATGCAACTTGGACATAAATACCCAAGGGCAGAGTACAGAATATTTGATAGAGTCCTAACCTCAACATCTGAGCAAAGGGATTTAGGGGTGATTATTTCTGATGACTTAAAGGTAGGCAGACAATGTAATAGAGCAGCAGGAAATGCTAGTAGAATGCTTGGTTGTATATGGAGAGGTATTAGCAGTAGAAAGAGGGAAGTGCTCATGCCATTGTATAGAACACTGGTGAGACCTCACTTGGAGTATTGTACGCAGTACTGGAGACCGTATCTTCAGAAGGATATTAGAGATAGTTCAGAGA